GCTGCGCTTTGTGGCCCCGGAAGGTTGCCCGTCGTAGGGAGAGGAACCCAAGCGAAGTCCTCGGGCGTGAGCGGGTCTGAAGCCTCCTCGTTGAACACGCTTGCCGATGAAGACGAAGTGGCGGAAAAACCTTCGGATGGTGAGAAAGCCGCACATGTATCTTGTCCTTGAGAAGCATCCAGTGAAGGAACGAGTCGGGCAGCGAAGTCTTCGCACGAAAGTGGAAGACTCCCGACATCCGCATATGCCTCGGAAGAAAGGGCGGTCGTGCGCACAACCGCTTCCGATGGCGTCGAGGGAGGTGTCGAGTCACCCTCGGCGGCGTCTACTTTCCCGAACGGGGTTTCCCCTTGGTGGGGCAATGTGCAGCATAGTGGATGGTGCTGTTGCACCAAAGACAATAATGGTACTTGAGTCTTGTGCGATAGCAATTCGCCGAGAGTCCGTATTGTGTCCAAGGTTCGTCGGTTGCTGATCCGGTGCCCGGTGTAGAGGTGGACTGAGTCTTCGTCTTGTCGCGGCCATGATTGTTGCGCGGCCGGCCACCATCCCGGGCAGCTGCCAACACTTCACCCTCGTCTGGTGTTGCAGCCTCGGTAGAAGAAGTTGGCGAAGTCGCCGTAATGCAAGCCAACTTTGGCTTGAGCTGGTTGCTGCTCGACGTCGCGGAAGATCGGCCGGCGTTGCGGGCTTCTACATTCATGAGAATAATCCGTGGCGCTATGCTAAAAAGCTTGTCCGACGTGTCAAGTGTCTCTGCAATCTGCATCAGCACGTTTTGCAGAGCTGGACACGAGCGCATGATAAACAAGTGCTTGACGCCGCGAAATGCGAGCGGCAGGTCGGGTGTGGAGGCGAGTCTTTGGAACTCGGTAATCCAGTCCTGACTGAGCATTGTGTTCTGATGGAGCTTGTTGAGCTTCTCCATCGCTTGCAGGTCGGGCGGCTCCACTTGGAATCGCTTGTGCCAGGCGTCCGTCAACTCCTGCCAAGTGAGCTTGGTGTGCAGTTCCGAAACTGCTACGCCGTGGCTGGTCAATATGTTGTCCAGCCATGCTTGACATGCACCACCAGATCAGTGGTACAAGCACGGATGTCGATTGTTGTTCGGGACATGGTGCATGTCGAGCCTGAGAGTAAACTGGCGCCACCACGGGATCGGTTCCGTCTTGGACTGATCGCAGAAAACTGGAATGTCATCCAGTTTGGGTGGGCGTCGGGAAGATGCAGCCGCGGGCGTCATGGTGGCAGCAGCCTGGACCTGCGTCTCCAACTGCAAGTTCGTTGCTTGCTGCGACGTTCGGAAGTCCTGATGCACACGCTTAATGTTGCTGACGTCATCCTCCAAAACTTGAACACGGGTGGCAAGGTTGGAAGGCCCTGCGGCTGCTGCGGCGACTGGCTGTTTCTCGAACGCCTGCAGCCGTACAAGCATCTGGTCCACTGTCTGCTGCAGGCGAAGAATTTCCTCCTGCTGCAGAGCGCAGGTGGCCACGAGGTCGTGGGAGATCTGCGCAACGGCTGACAGCCCTTTGCTAGTCTCCGAGGCCTCGTCCTCAGATGCCATCTCCACCCATTGTGCGGTTTCATCACTGATCGCGGTCTCCCGCGTGAACAGTCGTTCGCGTTGGCGGGACCGGTGTTCAACTGCAGCCTGCAGGTCTGCCTCCTCTTGACGAAGTCAGTCCTGTTCCTCCTGCTGTCGCTTGGTCTCCTCTTTCTCAATCCGGTTCCGTTCCTTGGCTGTGGTGGCGGCCCTATCGTTGGCCTCCTGGATGAACGCAGCCAGGCGTTCCTCATAGGCCAGGAGGGATTCTCCCGCCTTCTGGTCCATACCTTTGGTCTGTGATCGAGTGAGCAGTGGCATGCACTATCGTGCCCGAACCCTGAAGAGGCACCCGTGTGCCAAACGGTAGTACCCGGACTGGAGGGGGAGGAACAGGTAGGCAGCAGGCAAGTGGGAAGGATCGGACAGATCCCAAATTGAACAGGTTCCTAATCAAGAAAAAATTATATATTTTTTTGATTTAAAAATATTAACATACATCAAAAACAAAAAAATGGACTGTTCAATCCCACGGGGTACCGAAGGTGATGCAGAAAGCAATGTGGACCCTCGGTGCTCAACTGCAGATAATCAAAGAAGAAACTTTACAAACTGAGAGTAAGAGTAGGTTGCAAAAAGAAAAAACATGCCGTTTTTTTTTTTTTTTTAAAGAATGGAATTTGCAGACCTACGCAGTGAAAGTGTAGAGGGACAGTTTCGAAATAATCGCGAAATTGTCAAAATGCACACAATATTTAATAATTAAACAAAGAAAAATTTCTCGGGAAAAGAATTTTCGGCAAAAAAAAATTCTCGGGGAAAAAAAATTCTCGGAAAACAATTTTCTCGGAAAAAATAATTTCTCGGAAAAGGAAACAAAAATAATTTCTCGAAAAAAAAAATTCTCGAAAAAAAAAATAATTTCTCGGAAAATAAATAAATAAATAATTAATTCCGGGAAATTTCCAAGATTAAATAAGAAATTGCCAACTAATCAATCAACTTAATTAATCAATCAATCAATCAATCAATCAATCAATCAATCAATCAGTCAATCTCAGATGATTGCTGGTTGATTGATCGATTGTTCGATCGATCTCCTGATTGACTGATCAATCAATCGAAGATTGATTGGTGGCAATCCGCCAATCCAATCAATCAATCGAATCAATCAATTTGATTGGTTGTTGCCAAGATTCACTGCAACAGCTCTGATACCACTTGTAGCATATCAGGAAGTGAAATGCACCGAGAGCCTAAGATCTAGCAATGATGAAAGTGGCAACAACCGGCAGCATAGGTGCAACATTCACAAGATGCCAATGTGCACAATGCAAAGAGTAAACCAACGAGAAATCAACAACAACACATTTGTATCATCATCATGGGCTGGGAAACAGCACAGCGGAAGTCTTAGTAACCAAAGGACACGAGGACCGCCAAACATGAAAGGGGGAAACTTCGGAAGGGCAGGACATCAGAAAGATTGCCCTTCCGCTCACACACATGGGGAGAGATTCATAGACATGCGGGAGAGAAAGTGAAGAGACATAGGAGATAACCAAGTCCAACCCAAGTCTGATCTCCGAATGTCGTACACAGTTCAATCCCAATGTAGAGTGTAAGTCCGATCTGAATGTGGCGTCCAATAAGGCAGAATGCCGTGTCCAAACAATGTCTGCAGTTACCTCTATCTCTACTCTGATAAAGAAGAAGAAGAAGAAGAAGAAGAAGAACTTCGGAGGAGTAGGAGGAGAAGAGGAGAGGAGGAGAAGAAGAAGAAGAAGAAGGAGAGGAGAAGAA